AACGTAAACGTAAGGTAAGTAATTATAATTAATTAAATAAATTAACGTTAACTAACGAACTAAACTAACTAACTAACTAACTAACATAGTAGATATATATATATATATATATATATATATATATATATATATATATGAAAAACACACATATGAACAATTATTCCCCACTATAATGCAACTCATTGCCACTCCTTAAATCTCTTACGAGTCCATCTTTCCTCATGCATAAAACAAAATGAAATCAAATCAAACATTTCAATGACATAATAATGCTAAACTATTTCATTTATCAACCCATAAGGATGAATTTTTTACTTAAATAGAAGAACGCACCAGCATATCATACAGGGAAAGGTAATTTCCAGATATGCCTCGTAAAACTGATCCAGACAGAAGTAAAATGCTTAGGAGCATACTGCTGTGACGCAATAAGCATTTAATAAATGTGAATTCTGGAAGAACAATTGCAAAAAACTAATATTACCAAGTTAAAAGCATTTCTTTTCTTTTCTTTTCTTTTTTTTTTTTTTTTTTTGTTGTAGAACTAGTGAGAGATGATTATAGCCCACCAATTTGGAGGAACCAAAAAATTTTAAATCGCACCCTTGCCTTTGATTAAAAAAATTCATATTTCCCTATTGCCACTTATCCCCAAAAAAAAAAATAAGTAAATAAATAAATAAATAGTACCATGCCACCACATCTCTAGGAGACCTTCAAAGTGAACCATATGATATTGTAAAGAGTAAACAAAGACAAATTATAAAAAAGTGCCAAATAAGGAAACCAGCACACCATTGTTGATACTCACATCTTGACCCATGTGTGCAATAATATCAGCAAACACAGAACCAAGTTCATCCTTTGATCTTTTGTCAGAAAACTCGACTGAATCAAGTGCTGTTTTACACTTTGCAAAAGGCAAATCACCACGGACCTACAATAAAGAATCAGAAAATACTCCTGTTATTTTAGCAAGATTAATATGAGTGAAGTATTCTAAAACAAAAGGATTAAGAGATAGGACACAATAGAGTGAACTCTACTATTTTATTTCTAGAGAAGTTTCCTAGAAAGTTCTTTGGATAATAATTTAACTTTGTTCTCGGTTTCTTTGGAACCTTTCAAGCTCCTCCTTCTAGATTTAGGGATGCATCAATGAGACACCGATATGCAAACCATGCAAGATAACAAGATCGTCAAAAGTAAATAAATAACACAAATGATTGAACACTCATCTAAAAATGAATTAACTAAACAGTAAACTGACCCAACAATTGTTTGGTATTTTCGTTTGTTCAACTGACATGCATGGCATAGCAAAGCAGAACAAAGGATGATTTCAGAAACATTTTTTTTTCTCTTCACACATAAACCATGCATAATCATCCAAGGGTAATTTTAAGAAGTCACCGAAAGAGGAAAGCAATATGCTGAAAAACCTAAAAAACGAATGTGCTGAAAAAGCAACAAACTAATATTCTGAAAATCTACAATATATTTTCCGCTTCTATTACTCATGGATGACCAAAATCTGTGAACCAGAACCCATGTTTCATCATGCAAGAAGAAGAAAGACCAAAATTTCAGTTGTTATCAATTAAGGTAGCGCAATATAATAAAAATATCAAATAAGTTTCAACAAATTTAGCAAACACGTTTCAATGACCAAATAAAATGGCTAAAATTTTTATGCCCCTAACCGTCATATATCAATGAAGAAGCGAAATAGGAGAGAGATAGCTGCTCAGAAAATAAATAGAACTTACCATAGTCCAGCAAAGCTCGTAAAGGAATCGCAGTGATGGTACAGGAACAGGCAGCTTGAACGAAGTCGAAGGTGCCTTCCATTCTCGAAGGCACTCATCTGTGAAATATTTACGCTCCACCCCTAAAGGGGACATCGCTCTTACTTTTTAAAACCCTAAGCCGTCAAAAATCGAGTACCAATCCAAACCACTTCAGATTCCAACGCCATTAACAAGAGCAAAAAAGCTTCACAAAACCCTTAAATCTACAAAGAGAGAACCGCATAAACATGGCAGAAACTCGAGAAATGGAATGTTACCGGAGAGTATAACTCGAGTGATTTGGAAACCCTAGTATCTGAAGATATTTGTTATCGTTGCTTCGTAATTTTGGCCGATAAACGAACAAACATTAGGTTAAAAAAGGGACAGAGAGGGCGAGAAAGTTCAAAATTGAGGGGAAAATGCAGAGAAATAGAGGGCGAGAGTGAGGGTTTATGGTTTTAAAGCCCGGTCTGATTTTTCACATGGATACTAATGCCGTCCTTGTTCCTTGGATATCAAAACCGCCATTGAAGGTGTAGTACTGCAAACGCTATGTGTACGGTGTAAACTGCTTAGAGTGGCTATCCACCGTCCATTATTGATGCCGGAAGCTAAAGTAAGCCACTGAGAGCATGGATGGTAGACTGCCGGTACGTCAAGCCCATACCTTAAAAACAACAAACATATATCGCATATAATATTTGGGACAGTAGTTGGAGAGAAAATTCATAGTTAGTGGCAGTATGGAATGCATGTTCAAATCCGTCCATGTCTATCCAAAGGCGGTGGATGATGAGTTATTATTCGTTTTTATAGTTATTCAAATTTTTGTCCAATGGCCGTAGATTATGCGTTGTTATTCACTTTATATTTATCTTTTTCTTCTTCTTTTTTTATAGAAACGGTGTATCATGAGTTGTTTTTCACTTTATAGCTACCTATTGTTTCGTTTTTACGAAAACAATTGCTTAACTCTACAACTTATAAAAGCATGGATGATGGGTAATTGTCGGGAATATAAAGGAGTTCTTTATGATGTTATTTTAGGACCTTTATCGACATTCGTGAAGGATCGACAAATAATGGATCGTATCATAAAGGCGCAACATAAAAAGCAATAAAATATAAGATAAAAGAGAATGAAACGCATGTAGTGGTTATTATAACAGTTTCTTTTGAATTTAGAAAGTGTCTCAAAACATCTGCTACGAATGAAACTATCAAGCAAGGGCAAAAAGACTATAAGTAGATACATCAGGTCGAGTATGGAAACGACAAAATCCCTTACAGTGATAGAGCAACATGTGTCAGCGAAATGAAAAGAAAGGTCTACCCACCATATGGTATTATAAGGCAAGGTACCTTCCTCTGTATCAAGTCATGTCATTTTTTTAAGCCTAAATCATCGACGCTTTAGAAAGATAGAAAGGCAACGGTGAAACGGTATGCAAGCTGGAATTTGAAAAATATTTAGAGTGACTCTTTGAAGACATCAGATAAATTTTGAATGGTACATAGAAGATTGGCATGGCCGATGTGCAAGCATGACACATACAAACCGAGAAATAATCTAGTAATAGAGAAAGTTTGGAAAATTTTGAGAAAGTAGATGAGGGGTTGTCTATCTGATGTATAATATTTTATGTTAATAGAAAAGAAATTAGTGGGATATTTTCAAGTATCTAGGGCATACACCAACATGACACTCACCCCTATTTTTATTCACATTAGTTGCTGAATCTTTTAGTCTGATATTACTAGCAATAAACAGAAAAAGGCTTAGAGGATTTTGGCCGTCTATTGGTGGGCCAGTAATATCGCATCTTTAATCCACAAAATAATACTTTGATCTTCTATCTTGCTTCGATATCCCATATTAAAAATCATTGGCTCTTTCTTGAATATAATGAAGTTCTATTCAGCCAAAAAAATTAACAAGAAAATAACAAACAATGCTTCTGGAAGTGTGTAGCAATTCAGATGAGATTTATGCCTTGGCTCATTGGTTTAGCCATAATATTGATTTTATCTAAGCCAAATACTTAGGGATGCTACTTGTGGATGGACAGCCCTCAAGGGTTATATGAAACAAGAGGTTTTAGACAAAATTAAATTTGTAGAAATTAATATATTTATCACTTGGAGGTCGAATTATCCTTGTTAAAGCATCCATGTCAAACTTGCCATTACATTTAATGTTCAAAGCACCAAATACGATTATGAAAAATGTTAGAAAGTATGATGCGGAGTTCTCTTTGGAATGGTGCTCAAGAAAAGAAGAAGTTTCACCTGGTTACTTGGAACTTTGTTTGTGTTTCTGAGAAGCTTGGTGGCTTGGGCATTCATAGGCTCAGCTCATGAATGATGCCCTGATGACGAAATGGTGATGGTGAATACTTCCTGAGGAGTCTACTTTATAGAGACCAATAGCTCAAATCAAATATGATTGTGAGAGAAATGTTTTATCACTAAATTATCGGTTTGGTAAGCTTGCATTCTATGCATGGAAATATATCGACAGCACAAAACCCCTCTTCACTCGTTACAGTAAAATGCAGAGATTTTATTCTTTCAAAAATAAGTGTGGTGATGCCCCCTTAAAGTTCATTTCCCATAGCTCTTTACAAAGGTTAAAAAATCGAATGCCAGAGTCATGGCGGTTCATTGTTGGATTTGAAATACAAGTTGTTCGGGAGATTAAGCTGAAAGGTAGGATAGTGGGTGACAGAGTTGCTAACTGATTTATGACTTTGATAAAAATGGTGAGTGTTATCTTTTATTGCCCAATAAATGAGGATGAATATATTTGGGAATTGAATTAAGAAGATTTATATTTAGTTAAGTCCCTTTACAATTTAATATCGGTGGACTAGTCAATCTGCCTCAAAATGATTGCCCATAAAGCTTGGCTTTTACCAGTCCCCAATAGATCTCAACATTTACCTGAATTGCCTTCCATAACATCTGACGATTGATGCACTGCAAAAAAGGGGTATGTTCCTCACTAACATACGTCTTCTTTGCAAAAAACCATGAAGAAACAATTACTCATGTATTTCTACATTGCCCTTTTTTTTACCCCCTTTGGATATAGTTGTTTAACTCTTTTATATTCATCTGGACCTCTCCCAATTTCATAAATGAGTTTTATAAGGTGGGAATTTGTCTCTAGAGAATAGTGCTCGCAAGGGTCCTTATGTAGTTTGGAAAGAGTGGAACAAAGAAACTTTTGGAGACTCTCTTAAAAGACAAGTTCAAAATTAAAACTACCATTGTCATGTGAGCCCTAGCGAGAAATGAATCTTACAAAGAAGATTTGATGATAAATTTTAAGCAAATAGACATTTGAATACTAAGAGATTTATAAAATCCAGCTTGTGGTTGCCGCCTCCTTCATACTGGGATAAAGTTCCTTTTTTTATGCTAGTGTTATTGGCAACTTAGGTATCGTTGGGATTAGAGGGATCCCTAGGTATAGCAATGGCTGCACCTTACTATCCTACATGGGTCCTTGCGGAAGATGTATAGTGAAAGAGTTGGAACTTATGCTTCTTAAATAAGGAGTGGATTACATTCCATTCTTCCTGACTATCGGCGAATATTAATAGAGGGTAATTTGGGGGGAGAATATCAAAAAAAGGTTCAAAACCCGATATCATTAAAGGGGCTAAAAGATTGTAAATTACTATTAAGATAATGTTTTAAAATTTTTATATCCCTCAAGTACGTTCTAAAAAAAATGATGAAAATTTCTCAAATTGCCCCGATTCGAATGCTAAGAAATTGAAACAATTAGGGGTAATTTGGTAATTCCCCCCTCAATTATCATTTGGTTAAAGCCTCTTGGGGGAAAAATCACCAAAGTACTTCGAATTGTTAGGTCATCCCAACATCGAATAGAGGCAATTAGGGAACTTTTCAAACTTTGTTTTTTTTAGGACACGCATATTTGATATAGAAGTTTGAAAGTACCCACTCAAATGTAATTTGTAACCTTTCCAGAGGTGTCGATATTTTCCCAATTCCTAGTTGTTTTTACTCCTCATGGAATCTATATCTAGTGGTTAATGAAGTCAGAGTTCTGCTCAAAGGTAAAGAGGAGCACAGTTTATTCATATATACAGAGAAAGAAATCTAACAGCAGATTCCTTCGTCAGACAAGAGTTATCAAAAAGCTCATCAGATATTTCAAACCGCAACCGCACGAGGTCGATCTCACGCTATCATAGGTAAGAGATACATTACTATTGCAAGTCAGAAATGGAAGTTAAGTTTCAAATATGGAGCAAATTTGGTAGCTTCAACTTTTCTATATCTGTGCTTTATTTTCTGAGTTGTTTTTCCATTTGGTACAACTTTCTCATTGTACAACTTTTGATAAAAAAAAGTTTTGTTTTCATTAAAAAAATAAAATAAAAAATGTCATGAATATAGCTGCACTATTTAGTCCATAATATTTGATGCTATGTTTCGAGTTTATAACAATTGTTATTTTTCTTGCACTCTCCCTCTTGTCAAATATCAACAAAGGGCTAATGGGTGGTATTGTTCATTCCCTAGTTCTACAAAAGTACTGAGAAACTTTGAGGAACAACAGGCCCCAACAATTTGTTATCAACATCAGATGATTGAAGCAGGAACCAATAAGACCCTAGCATGCAAACCCATAATATATTTCTCCAAGGAAGAGGTTCCATGTAATTGGTTATGCAGAAGTTCCAAGAAGCAACTTCTTACTATCAAACACGCCCTAACTGTAAGAATAGAAAGTTGATGAGTAAAATGATACTAATGCAGTTAGAGTTTTTATTTTTAATTTGGTTTCAAAATTTTTCTAGAGATTGAATTTTGGTTTTTTTAGTTTTGTATGAATTTTAATGACTTTTGTTATTGTAGATAATTAAAGGGCATAAATGGGTTTTTAATCTTGGAAAGTATGGGATTATGATTAAATAGTGATTGGGATTTCTTATGGAGCTAGTTATACTAATGGTTTTCTTATAAATAAGTATTACATTTGTAAATAAGGAATATAGAGAATACTTTTTCTATTAGAGACTTGTGGCTAGTTTTTGGGGGTGAATTCCCTTGTATGGTATGATAGAGAGCACAATCTCTAATCTTTCACCTTTATTTGTCTTTTTGGTTGCTTTCTCCTTCATGCTAATATCCAAGCTTGAGAGATGTATATAGTATGGCGCACCACAGTCACTAACTATAAATGATGAAACCACATCCAAGAACTTGAGTTTTGAAAGTATAAGTTACATTTGACATACTGAAGCGACACAAGGAAAATGGTGTCATGGCGACATGGAAGGTCCAATTAAATTTTAATTTTTTTTATTATTATTAGTATACTTGAACCAGGTTATTTGTCTTGGACTACTTTTTTTTGTGTGTATTGTAGATAATTTAGTTGTAGAATTGGAATTTCATTTTTGAGAAAATGAATGACCGGCATTTAATGACCATTACGGTTTTTTATAGAGCAAGAAAGATTTTTCGGATTTTAATAAATATATAAAATTGTTTAGACCAGGCAAAGAGATAAAGTTTGTTTGTGTTACTTAGTAGAGAGAGTGAGAATTTTAATGGAAAATTATAATTTTACATACATTCTAGAGATAGATATATATAGAGAAAGAGGTTATTGG